CTATAGTGAGAGGCTGAATAGGCTGGGGCTATTTTCTCTGGAGTGTTGAAGGCTGAGGGGTAACCTTAATAGAAGTTTATAAAGCCATGAAAGGCATGGATAGGGTGAATATCCAAGGTCTTTTCCTGAGGGTAGTGGAGCCCAAAATTAGAGGGCATAGGTTTAAGATGAGAGGGGAAAGATTTAAAAGGGATCTAAGGGGTAACTTTTTCACGCAGAGGGTGGTGTGTGTATGGAATGAGCTACTAGAGGAAGTGGTGGAGGCTTGTACAATGTAACATTTGAACGGCATCTGGATGAGTATATGAATAGGAAGGGTTTGAAAGGGATATGGGCTAAATGTTGGCAAATGGGGCTAATTTAGAATATCTGATTGGTATGGACAAGACGGACTGAAGCATCTGTTTCCAAGTACAGTTCTATGACTTGAGAAAGGGTAACTAGGGAGAGAATAGGGCCCTTAAAATTCAACAAGGCTGCCTGTGTGTGGAACCACAGGACATGAGGGAGATACTAAATGAGTATTTTGCATCACTGTTTACTGCAGAGAAGCTAGAGGAATTGCAGAAATAAATACTGACATCTTGAAAAATGTCCATATTAGAGGTGGTGGTGCTGGATGTCTTAAAATGCATAAAGCTGGGCAAATCTCTGGGACCAGATCAGGCATACCCTAGAACTCTGTGCGAAGCCAGGGAAGTGTTTGCCGGGCCCATTGCTGAGATACTTGTATCATCGATAGCCACAGGAGGACTGGAGGTTGGCTAATGTGGTGCCATTATTTAAGAAAGGTAGTAAGGAAAAACCAGGGAACTACAGACCAGTGAGCCTGACATTGCTGGTGGGCAAGTTCTTGTAAATCCTGTCCTTCAGGATTCCCTCCATGTATTTGGAAAAGCAAGGACAGATTAGGGATAGCCAACATGGCTTTGTGTGGGGGAAATAGTATCTCACTAACTTAATTGAGTTATTTGAATAAGTAATGAAGAGGATTGATGAGGGCAGAGCGGTGGACTTGATCTATATAGACTTCGGTAAGGTGTTCAACAAGGTTCCTCACGTTAAACTGGTTAACAAGGTTAGATCACATGGAATACAGGGAGAAATAGCCATTTTATTACAGAACTAGCTTGAAGGTAGATGACAGAGGGTGGTGGTGGAAGGTTGCTTTTCAGACTGGAGACCTGTGATTAGTGGTGTGCCACAAGGATCAGTGCTGGGTCCACTGGCTTTCATCACTTATATAAATGATTTGGATGTGAAAATTGGTAGTGTAGTGGACAGCAAAGAAAGTTACTTCGGAGTACAAAGGGATCTTGATCAGAGATGTCTATGGACCGAGGCATGGGAGATGGAGTTTAATTTAGATAAGTGTGAGATGCTGCATTTTGGAAAGGCAAGTCAGGGCAGGACTTATACACTTACTGGTAAGGTCCTGGGGAGTGTTGCTGAACAAAGAGATCTTGGAGGGCAGCTTCATAGTTCCTTGAAAGTGGAGTTGCAGGTAGACAGGATAGTGAAGGTGGCGTTTGGTATGCTTGCCTTTATTGGTCAGTACAGTGAGTACAAGAATTAGGATGTCATGTTGCGGCTGTACAGGACATGGTTTAGGCCACTTTGGAATACTAAGTGCAATTTTAGTCCTCCTGCTGTAGGAAGGATATTGTGAAACATGAAAGGGCTCAGAAAAGACTTAAGGATGTTGCCAGGGTTGGAGGTTTTGAGCCATAGGGAGAGGCTGAATAGGCTGGGGCTATTTTCCCTGGAGTGTCGGAGGCTGAGGGTTGACCTTATAGACGTTTATAAAATCATGAGGGGCACAGGTAGGGTGAATAACCAAGGTCTATTCCTCGGGCTGGGAGAGACCAAAACTAGAGGGCATAAGTTGAAAGTAAGAGGGGAAAGATTAAGGGGTAACTTTTTCATGCAGAAGGTGGAGCATGTTTAGAATGGGCTGCCAGAGGAAGTGATGGAGGAGACTGGTATGATAACAACATTTAAAAGGCATCTGGATGGGAATATGAATAGGAAGGGTTTAGAGTGATATGGGCCAAATGTTGGCAAATGGAACTAGATTTATTCAGGATATCTGGTCGACTTGGACAAGTTAGACTGAAGGGTCTGCTTCCATGGTCTACGACTCCATTATTCTAAAAGTATTAAACTGCAATTGCTTTGTGACATGATTTACACATGAAGCAACTTGGCATGGTTTACATGGTTAAACTATCTAGTGAGATTTGTTACTAACTGCATGTGTGGGATATGGCAGAATTAGGCTCAATTATACTGATGAGCCCACCAGCACATCATTCAGAGTCACATGAAGAAAAGCTGCTTGAGTGAAAATCTGGAGAATCACTAGCATAAAGTACTTGGATGTGATTGCACGGGAGGGGTGCACAGGCAATTCAGCAGGATGATGCCTGCGTTGGAGAGTTTTAGCCATGATGAAAGGCTGTATAGGCTCAGGTTATATTTTTTGGAGCACAGAAGGCTGAGGGGAGACCTGACTGAGGTGTTTTAGATTACGAGGACATAAACGCAGTGGATAGGAAGCAGCTGTTCTCCTTAGATGAAGGATCAGTAACAAGGTGGCATAATTTTAAGATGAAGGGCAGGAGGCTTAGAGGGGATTTGAGGAAACTTATTTTTCACGCAAATGTTGGTAAGAATCTGGAATGCACTGCGTGGGATGGTAGTAGAGATGGGAAGCCCCAACCTTTAAAAAGTACATGGATGATCACTTGAAATGTCATAGCATTCAAGGCTAAGGCCCAGTGCTGGAAAGTGGGACTTGTGTAGATACGTCAGCACAGACTCAATGGGCTGAAGGAAGTCTTCTGTGCTTTGTGACTCTATGAATCTATAAGTGCTGTTAGGAACGTCAGCAGCAGTGTGTTCCATCCACAAGACATATTGGAATAACTCATTAAGGCTCCTCCAACAGCACTTCCCAAACCTGTGACCTCTATCACTTAAAGGACAAGGGCAGCACTTGAAAGGAACACCACTTGTAACTTCCCCTCCAAGCCACACAGCATCCTGGTTTGGAAGTCCATTGCTATTCCTTCACTGTTGCCGTGTTAAAACTCTGGAATTCCGTTCCTAACAGTACTATGGATTAAGGCAGCAACTCACTAGGGCAATAAATGCTGACCTAGCCAGAAATAATCACATCCCATTAACAAACAAAAACTAATGGATGTGTTTCAATTAAAATTAGTACACATATAGACTATGAATCAGTACATAACTAATTATTTTATGATGAAGTAGTAGATTCAAATTTTTAAAAAACGATCCATAATACAGAGACAGTAAGAATGAGTTATTTTGTTTTTGAATGCTGTGGATTGTCTCAAGCTCGGTCTTGCAATTTGTTGGTAGGAATCTAGGATGGCAGTAAAAGTGGGAAACTGCGAGCAGAAATTTCAGAGCAAGCTGTTGGATTCAGATTGTCCTGAAGCCTCCTCAGTGAGACAGAAGCCCCTAATAAAAAAATATTCTTTCAGCTTTATAGTTAGAGCATGAAACAGGCAGAAAAAGCCTCAAAGAAGGGCTACGCAATTGCAGTTGAGTTAACTCAGCATGCTGGTGTTTTGTGCTCTTAGTGGCCTCTAGTTGTTTAGCATTTCATGCTGGATCATGTAACAATTGAATATTGAAAGCTGAATAAATATTTGATGTAAATTATAAATAAACGTGTTTCGGTAGTTTATATTTTTTCAACTTCACACATCCAACCTCAATATGGTGAAATGCTTCAATTTAACTCTGGACATTTTTAGCTCAAGAAATGACAAATTGCAATTACACAACACTTAAACCACACAAACATGCCAGAAGTGCTTAAACAAAAAGGAACAGCTGCCGAACTTTCAGAGAGCAAGGTGAGTGAAGGTTGGCCAAAGGTACTGACTTTCAGAAAGCTGTACAGGTAGAAGTGGAGGTAAAAAGGGTTTAAAGTTGTGATGTTCGAAGGCTGCTACTTATACAAAGTTTTACTTTTAAGTGAAAATATTTCCTATTATCTTGAACAAATATTTAAAACATTACTTACAAATAATGCAAAGTTAAGTTTTAAGAATCGTTCTGAATTGAAAATAAAAGTTTGGCCAACCTGTTACAATTCCAAAAGATATTAAGACCTAACTATAAACCACAATTCTTTTTGTACAGTTCTTTTGTTGCGCAAGATAACAGTAAATTTGTTAACAAGATTTACAAAGCTAATGGCAAATAGTAATACAGTATTACTTTTCTCTATTCCCAAAAGGTGCATCTGTATTGAAGAACTTCAGGCCCTTTCACAAAGTCTCCTTTGTCCTACTACTGCTATTAAATCAAACAGGAGTGGCCATTCGCATGATTTCTGTCGAAAAATTTCATCGATTAGTTAGTGAAATCTGTAGCAAACATTTTACTTTAGAAACATAATTCAAAATTCTAAATATAGCTATTGTTGTAATTAGCATTGTAGTTGAACATAGAGTATGGGAGCATTATGGTTTCATTTCTCATTCAAGAACCCAGAGATTATGTAGTTATAAAATTTAACAATACTAAATTGATATCAGAAACAAAAAATGAAAGTTGTTGAATTGTTATAAAAATCCAACTGACTTGCTAATTTCTCTCAAAAAAAATCTGCCACCCCAGTTGGTTTGGTTAAAATGTCACCAGTCCAGCTCTACAGCTAATTCAATGTTTTCTGAAGTCCTCTTATTCACTAAACAACCTTTCTTTTCTTAAAAAAAAAGGGGCCACCTTTACAAGGACTGCAACATTTCGAGGCCCACTACACCTTCTCAGGGAACCAGGGCTTGGCCTGTGCCAGTGTTGTGCACACCCCAAGAACAAAGAAATACAAGCTCAAGGCACGATCATTTTAGGAAGAAAAACCACTTACGTTCTTAAAAGTAATGGAGTTAGAAAGACATGAGACTGCACCATGCAGAACAAGTGCTTTGAAAACAAACACTTTCAGATTTGTCAGCTGGATTGGATATTTTAATTTTTTTTAGAAAAACAATTTTCAAGAAAAAACATTACAATTTGGCAGAAGTACTCAGCAAATTCAACTTCATTAGCTTTTAATTTAACAGAACACCCAGACTTGATGCACATCACGGGTAACACACAAACAGCAGTTAATTTCGTGCACTTCCATCAAAAGATCGGGGAAATGAAGTACAGACCCTACACTGAAAACATGTTTAAGGAAATATATTTCTTAACACATACTTCATATTTATATATTTTCAAATATGCTGAAAAGAAATCAGTTTCATTAAAGAAATCCTGAAATGCTAATCAAGAGGATAAAGACCCTTGTGTATGTACAACTCCCCTTGTAGGAGCTTTGTGCCTTCATAATTAGGGGAGAGAGGTTAACCCAAGTAGCAGCCACTTGAAAAGAGGTGCTTAAGATTTCAATAGACACTTGAACAACTTAAAAAGAACTGTAAACAAGAAGGAACAAAATGACCTCTAAATGCAAAAAAAAACTGAATATGAAAAGCTTGGCAACAAATGTTAACAACAGGTAAACATTTCTGCACTGAAGATAACAATGGGTATCAATATTTCATATTGAGTGAAGGTTAGAATTTCATCTTGAAACAAATGCTCATGAATTTCCAATAGCATAATGATTTTGAAAGCATTTGATTCAGACACTGCTGTTGCTGAGGTTTGAGAGCAATAGTTTTACTGCCTGGGCAAAATACATCTGTGGGACACTATTACATTCCAAGTTCAGGTTTCATTGTTAACCAAATGCCATTTCTACTGGAGCCAGCAGCGTTTCTCCACAATCTCAGCCTTCAATTTCCCACACAAGACCCAAGAAAAAAAACATGTGCAATGATCATGAATGGGAAAGACTGCAGATGTCACACACCAAAGCAAAGTGAGCAAAAATGGGGAATGTGAATATATAAATCTACAGCATGTACAAATACAAAGGTAAAACACAGTTGTGACCAACTTCACATTCATTCCATTTAATTTCCAATATGGGATCCCCAAAGTATTGCACTAAAATATGATTTCCAAGTACTGTAGCATAATGCTACAATACATTAATAATGTACAGCAAGATATGAACAACAATCAAAACCAGCTCACGCTGGCAGCTGATCTTATGTAAGATTTCTGTAGACATCCATGTATTCCTTGCTCAAGTGTTTTGCTAAAGGAACTTCAATGTCCCATTAATTCGCCATCCACTCAGTTAGATCTAACCACTTCTTCCTTCCACCTAATTACATTCACCTACCATTTTCTCCCTCCTGATTCTAACCACATTTCTGCTATAAAATTGGTTCTAATTGTCGACCAGAATTTGTTCCTTGAACAAGTGAAGATACTTGCATGGTCACCCCAAGTATTCTGTAGACTGAAATCTGCTAAATGGCATAATTTCATATAATAAAACCTAGGTAGTAATAAGGTAGGAGTTAATACAATAAATATTAGAGTATTCAAACTGGAGTAAAATCTGGCAACATAATACTAGTGAAAATTAAGATTTTATTTGTATTGTGGTTATGTGGATTCAAACCCCAATTCACGTAGTGATTTCGTTTTTTTTATAAAAGGACATTACTGAAGTTTAGATAGGATTTGCATTATTGACAAATATTTATAATAAGTGGGGAAACATACATAAACTTATATTAACAAAAGTAACAAATCTAATTACAATACTTTCTGCATGAATAAAATTACAGGCAGCATCTGGCATGAAATGAACCCATATTAACTAAATTATCATTCAAGGATAAAATCAGATCAAAAATATTATTCATTCAACCAGCATTATACACAAACTGACATAATCCAATCACCTGTGGAAACAATCAACATCCACCAACCAGTGTTGGACACAAATCATCATCCAAATACTGCCAGACATAAACCAGTATTCACCCAATCAGCACAGCCACAATCTGACATCATTCGATTAGTACCAGATGTAAACTGACAGCATCCAACCAGCGGACATACACAATATCTAACTAGCATTACAGGAACAAGTATCATCCAAAGGGAGTTGGATCCAAACCTGCATCTTCCAATCAGTATCAGATGCAAACCAGTATCACCCGACCAGCAACGAACACAAATCAATGAGGTGCAAATTAATGTCTTGGGCCAGCAATGGATCATTGTTTAAACTCTCATGATAATACTTTGCTACACGTATTTATCCTCTTGTTTTGCATTTGTTGGCATCTGGAGTGAATGCAGTATTACATTTATAGCTCCATGGGTGAAACACTGGCAGAGACAATAGCACAAAACATTTGGCGTGTGAAATAACACAGAAAACCCAGCACTGCCCCATGTGTCCCTTGTTCCCTGCTCAGGTCCCACGCTGTGCACCAACCCACAGTTACAGTAGAAAACACCTTCACGTTGCAAGTTTTCAGTTTCCTCCTCAGTTTAAAGCAATGTGACTGAGGGAAAGTTTATGAGTTGTGCTAGGAATCAGCAGTACTCAAAATGAACCTCCTGTCCTGCAGAAATAAATGAAGAGGGAGAATCGTCTGTGGTAACCTCCTTCCAGCTTAAATAGTTGGTAACATGGACCAAGGTAATCAGAACTGGTACCACTTCTTATCTTTGCACTTCAACATCATCTGGAAAGAAAAGACAAAAATATTACTCCTAAAGAACAGATTGATAGGAGTTTCTCTCTTCTGAAATGCAGTTATCATTTCAGGATCAAGATGACCAAAGATTTGAATAGATTCATGTTACAAAAAAAAAAAAAGGATTCAATTAGATTGCTCTTTGAAACTAGCACACCCAGGCCAGATCAGAGTAACCATGAACTGTAAGATGAGGTCACAGGCAACAAAGTTGCCCATCCACCTCCCTTGTCACTTTTCCTTAGGTATTGTATCGCATGGCAAAGCTATTGTTTCCCCTTAGAGGCATTTATGAAAAGGAGGGGAGAACAAAAGGAAAACTGTTGGGACTTCTCTGATAAAACAAATTTCTTTTCTAAAGGATAAGATTTTCCAATGATACCAAGTAAACTGCATAAGTGTAGATTGTCTTTAGACAATTTGTTCAATGGACTCCCAATGAGTTTTTTTTTAAAACGACTATTTCGGAAAATGATCCAAACTAATACAAAAGCTCAAACAGCACAGCACATTTACTAAAGACAACTATACGCGATATGGAATGTTGGTAGTCTATTTATCTTCTCCCTTGAGGCAGATAAGGAATTAATACATTAAGACCAAGACAAACCCCATTAGCGAAAATAGAATAGCGACAGTTTTCAGTTCAGAACCACTTTATGGAGAAGGCGGAAAAGAGAGTTGAACAGCGAAATTCCAAAATTCCAAATCATTCTCCTTAGAGTTCTGGCACTTAGCACCATGACAGGGGAATTCAAAGGTTTGTTGCAACTGAAGTGGGGTCTTGGAATTGGAGATTTAGCAAGAACATTGGCTGGGTGCAGAAAGGAGATCTTGTGATTTGTGGGAAAGATACTAGATTTCTGTACTACCTTTCACAACTTCAGCCCATCTCAAAGTACTATATTTTCTGAGGCAATGAAGGAAAATGTAGCAACCGATTTCTGCACAGCAAAATGTCACAACGGCATGAATGGATTTCTTCTTTGTGTTGTTAGTGAGGGGCAGATACTGGTCAGGATACTGGGAGAATCGCTCTGCCATGGCATTATTTTCATGTTCACCAGAGACGAAAGGTGAGGCCTTGGTTTAATATCAGACCTGAAAGTTTGCATGTCTGACAGTGAGGCGCACCCTCAACTGAAGTGTCAGGTTGGATTATACTCTCAGATGTTTGAAGTGGGACTTGAACCCACAACCCTCTAACAGAGGTACGTGTACCCACCACTGAGGCACAGCTAATTTGACTCTGGTAAATGCTGATCTATCCATTACCTCACTACTATAGCTGAATGCTATTTAGAGCAACTTTTTTTTTTTTTAAAATTTAGGAGGTTTACTTGTTTCAAAGATATTATAAAGAAGGATGTTGCACACAACCTATCAAATTCCATCATGCAATACATCTGACAGCCAAATTATATACAGGAAAACCTCACTAACAGGAACAACTGATCAATTTGTTTTTGGTGTGTTGATTGAAGGGTGAACATTGGCCAGGAAAGAAAGCTCACTGCTTTTCTTCAGATCATGTCCCAGGATGATCTTCGCATCCAGGGCAGATGGGACTCCTCGTGAAGGTGACAACAATGTAGCACTTCCTGATTATTGATGTGCTGGCCCTGATAATGGGCTCCAAGTCCTAAGGTGAAGCTTAAGCCCACAACTTTCAGGGGTACAGTGCTCATCACCGAATCAAACCGTAACTAAACGCTGGTCAGAATGATGACATCTTCTGAATTTGTACAAAAAAGAGAGGCAAGACTCAAGAATTTAAGAACACATCTGGATTGAGCAGAAAGGAAGCCAAAATGCTGGAGAAAATCATTTGCTCAGGCAGCATCAGAACAAAAACAGTTCAAGCATAATAACATTTCTTTAGACCATTGGAAAGAGTAGGACGTCATGTGAGGAGAGGTTAATTAGCTTGGGCTCACTTTCTACGGTAGCTTAGATTGAAGTTTATAAGATCCTGAACATTATTGAAAAGATGGATGTGGAAGAGTCCAGACCTAGGGGACACTGATCAAAAATTACAGGTTGCCCTTTTAGGGTAGAGAGGAGGAGAAATTAGAAATCTTGAATCGTTGGACAATGGAGCTGGATTCACTGAATATTAAGGCATACATAGATAGATTTTTGACAGGCAAAATTCAAAAGTTGAGGGCGAGGTGCGGGTTTAAGATGGAAATGTGGAAGTCAAAACACAGATTAGCTATGGTCTCATTCAATGACAGAACAGGTCACTCACAAAGGCCAAATGGCCTACTAATGCACCCAATTCATATGCAACACCAATCACAGATAGAGCTCAAAAAGTTTCAAATAGTTGACTGCAATGTGGTATATGGTGTGTACTTGAAGAAAAAACAAGAACCTGCATCTATTACTTAAACAGCTCAAGCACAATTTTTGAGTATACATATTAAAAAGGAAATTTGAATGTGAAAAGTAGCAGTAGAAACATGCCAAAATTAAAAACAGGAGCTACACAATTCTAATTTATTTGGCTGAAAACCTGTATTCTGGACAAAGTTATTGATTTACCAGGAGGCACTGCCAGATTTTTTTGGATTACCAAGACTGGCTGCACAAACTTGGTGTTTCTGACACTAAGCCCAAAGCTCCATTAAATCTTAAGTGGAGTGCCTGATAGCTTCTTTAGGACATTTTGTCAACTCATGGCAGATGGCACTACATTCTGATCATCATCGTGCAGATTACTGAAGTTTTAAAATTCCAAGACCTTGTGATGCAAACAATCAGGAAAGATTCCAAAAAGAATTCTTGTTCTGGCCCCATTGTAGGATGAAGCCAGACTGAGATCCTTAAATATTCCTTATTTGATGCACAAGATACATGATATAAGGTCAAAAACATTGGCTTTAATGACCTATATTCTCAGTTCAGTAACATTACCGATTTCCCTAAAATGAGGGGTAGAAAGATAGCAGCTTCATCTAACAGTTGAACTTCCATTTAAGTTAAAAGACTAAAAAAGAAAAAGTGACATTAGTTCAGGAAGTGAGTTCAGGAGAAGGGTCACTGGACTCAAAACTTTGATTGTGCTTTCTTTCCACAAACATTGCCAGATCTGCTGAGTTTCTCCAGCAATTTCTGTTTTTGTTTCCGATCTGCAGCATCTACAGTTTATTGTTTTATTTTAGTTCAGGAAATATTGGGTTTATTGGAATCAAGGACTTTGGGCAGGAAATCAAGCTTATAAGCCACTTTAATAAAACAAATCGTGACTGAATTTTGCTCTAAAGTGATTGCTCCCACAGAGAAAAGCTGGTTTGAGGCTCTACCTAGCAACAGAGAGTACCTAACTAACAATACACAAAAAGGATTATGACCCTGCTTATGGCATTACAGACCAAAACACTAACATATATTTGTAAAGTCTTGGAACAGCTTGCAGGTTTTTTTTTATTATGTGCACTATGTTACTGCAGTTCATACAGGCCCCTAAATTCTACGTGTCCTGTTCAATAACATCCTAATAATCCAACAATACTACTAACGTTAATGACAGCTTTTAAATGCAAATTAAATTTGACAATCATACTAAAGTTCTGCTTGAATAGAGTCAATACATGTTGATGAATAACAAGTGGCTTATACTTTAATAAGGTATAGCAGGAAGCGATCAAACATTATAATTTCTAAAATGCTTGGTACAGGAGACATGGCCAGAGCCAAAAGGATGATTGGATGCAAGAAGACGATACACAGGAGACCAGATAACAACATCTAGACTGATACTTCTTTTAATATTGGAGTGCTGAACTATCAGAAGTGGTGTCCTTTGGATTAAACATTAATTCTTAGTCTACCTTTTCAAGTGGAGGTAAAGATCGTAAGGCACTATTTTGAACACATTAATACTTACGATTCCACTAAAATGGTTGCGTTTCTTTAATACATTAAACAGATGCAACTACATTCAATAAAAGCACTTCATCAGCTGTAAAGTACTTTGAGAAGTGCTGAGGTCATGAAACATATTCGACAACTTCAAGTGGTTATTATAAACAAACAGAAATCCAAGAAAGTAACGAATTTCAGTAGTGCGATCAGCTGGGACACTGAATGTTAAAGGGTATGAAGGACACACAAGAAATTGGAATCAAGGCCACAGTCACATCTCATGATTTTATTGAATGGCAAAGCAGGCTCGATAGGTTAAGTGGCCTGTCCTTACTACTTTATGTTATTATCTAAAGGGTTTTAAAGTGCATGGCAAAATTCAGTTTCGGAAAGAGAAAGAATTATTCGCAACACAATATTCTGGCTTTGCATTACATATCGAGGAAGAAAATAACAACTGCTGCATCCATTTTTGTCAGATTTCATGTTATGGTTCTAATGTTATTAAATGTTCAACCAACTATTTCGTTGAGGGTGTGGGATGGGCAATTAAAATATCCAGGGTTTAAGTGGTGGAAATGCGATCAATGATAGGAAAACATATTCAAGACAGTTTCTGAGAACAATATGTTGTGGATTCTACCAGGGATCAGGCTATTTAGTAATATGCAAGGAGGGAGGTTTAGAAAATGATTTCAGAGTAAAAAATCCCCAAGGGAACAGGCAGCATGGTGGCACAGTGGTTAGCACTGCTGCCTCACAGCGCCAGGGATCTGGGTTCGATACCATCCTCGGGCAACTGTTTGTGTGGAGTTTGCACATTCTTCCAGTGTCTGCGTGCTTCCTCCGGGTGCTCCGGTTTCCTCCCACAGTCCACAGATGTACAGGCTAGGTGGATTGGCCATGCTAAATTGCTTGTAGCGTTCAGGGATGTGTAGATTAGGTGGGATGGTCTGAGGGTCAGTGTGGACTTGGTGGGGCGAAGGGCCTGTTTCCACAAGGTAGGGATTCTTTGATTCTACTCTATGAGGAACAGTGACCATAACGTGACAGAGTTTGGCATTCAGTTTGAAAGAGAAACTGGAGTCAAAAACAACTGTGCTAAATTTAACTAGGGTAATTTGGTAGTGATGAGGGCACAGTTGGCTGGAGCAGACTGGGGAAGATGTTTAGCAGAAAAGAAGGTTGAGGAATAATGGTAGATGTTTAAAATATAAAACCATCCTTCCTGACTGGAATATAAGGAGGGGACAACCATTTTGGCTATCCAAGAAAATTAAAGGATAGTGTCAAAATGAAAGGAACACAGACAATGCAGCAATGATTAGTAGGAAATGTAAGGATTGGGAAAGTTTTAAATGCCAACTAAAGATAACCAAAACAATAATACAGGGGGAAAATAAACTGAGGGTAAACTAACAAATTATATATAAAGTGACAGTAATAGCTTCCTTAACTATATAGCCAAAGGAGAGTGATGCCAAAGTCAACGTTGGCCACTTAGAGAATGAGGCAGGAGCAATAATAATAGGGAACCAGGAAATGCCGGAGAATACTTGGCATCTGTCTTCACAGTAGGGGTCATCAATAGCATTTCCAAAATAATAATCCAGGGGTAAAGAGGAGAAGAGGAAATAAATACAAAAACCATCACAAGAGAAAAAGTACTAGGGAACCTAAAAGGGACCAAAGGCTGATGAATCTTCTGGACCTGACTGGTTGTATTTTAGGACATTAAAAGAAACAACTCAAAATGATCATACTGGTGGTAACCTTCCATGAATTCTTAGATTCTGAAAGTTCATTAGAAATAGGAACAAGAGAAGGCCATTCGTAAGTTTGAGGTTACTCCACTTTCAAGAGGCTGATCTGACACTCCTCACATCTTGCCCTTTCCCCCAACCCCGATTCCTCTACTGATCAAGAATCTACCTACCTTAACCTTAAACAAACACAAAACCTCTACCCCACAGGTCTTTGAGGTAAGGAGTTCCAGAGACACAACCCTCAAGAGAATAAATTCCTCCTCATCTCAGTCTGAAATTGCCGCTCCTTAATTCTGAGATGATGCCCTCTTGTCCTGGACTCTTCCATCATGGAAAAGTCCCAGAGGTTTGGAAAACTGCAAATCTAACATGCTTGCTCAAAAAGGAATAGACTGTCATTGGAAATATGTTAGAGTCTATTATAAAGGTATAATAGTAAAGTCTTCAGAAATACATGATATAACTAAGCAGATTTAGAATGGCTTCATGAAAGAGAAATCATGCCTGACAAATTAATTTGAGTTCCTTCAGGAGGTAACAAGCAGGATAAATAAAAAGAAAAATCAGAGGATATATTTGGATTTCTAAAAGGTGTTTGATAAGGTACTGCACATAATGCAACGTAACAGCACATGCTGGAGATAGTATATTAAAATAAATAGAGGGTTGTCTAACTAATAGGAGGAGAGTTGAGATAAAAAGGGCATTCTCAGGATAGCAACCTGTACCTCGTGGAATGTACAGTGATAAGTGCGAGGTCCATAATTGTGCGATATCTATTAACGACTTGGATGAAGGAGTGAATGTACCATCACCAAGTTTGCAGCTGACGCAACAAAAGGTGGGAATACAACTGATGCTGATGACACAGTCTGGAGGGATATAGAGGGGTTAAGTGGGTGGGCGAAAACTTGTCAGATGGAAAAAGTGGGAAAATGGGAGGTGGAGGAAGAATAGAGGAGCTGAATACTATTTAAAGAAAAGAAACTGCAGAAAGTTGCAGCAGAGGGAGATCAGGGGACCTCATGCATGAATCACAAAATGCCAGCATCCAAGTTTAGCAGATAATAGGACAGGCCAATAGACAATTGACTTTTCTTTCAAAGGAAATGAAGCATAAAAATAGTCTTACTAAAACTGTACAAGACACATTCAGACCATACCTAGAATACGGTGAACATTTTGAATCCTTTTATCTAAGGGGAGATATACTGGCATTGGAAGTAGGCTAGGGAAGGTTCACTAGGTTAATTCCTAGTATGGAGGGATTCATGAAGAGAGGTTGCGCTTACACTCATTGGAGTTTAGAAGAATTAGAGGAGACCTTATTGAAATGCAAGATTGTTACGTGATTTGACAGGGTGAATTCAGAAGGGGAAAAAAATCTCTCGAGGAGTCTAAAACTAGAGGGTTTAATCTCAGAATAAGACAGGGAATTTCTTCTCTCAAAGGACAGAATTATTTATTGCAGTGTTGTGCAGGTTGGTTCATTAAGAATATCATCAAGGCTGAGTTAGTTATTTTTAAAATTTAAATCAGGAAAGGAATCAGGGTTTATGGGGATAAGACAAAATGGAGTTTAAGGTTATTCAGATCAGGCATGATCTCAGGTGAATGGCAGAGCAGACTTGATGGGTCAAACGGCCTACTTCTACTCCAACATCTTACTGGCAATTTTTCCTTCTGAAAAGAGGAGAGCGAGCGAGCGAGTATGGCTTCATACAGTACTTTTGAGGTACAGCCCTCGTTATGTGATGTGTTTACAAGCTAAAGGAAACCAGAAGTTAAAAAGACAACATGAAATTCTACATGCTAAGAGTGAAATAGGTACATTTCTAGTGCTTACCTCATGAGCATGTTTAGAGAAAGTGTCAGCACTGTATAACATGGCTGCTGTTCGTTCTTCCAACTCACTTAGTTTCTGTCCTCTTTCATCAAGTGCTATCCTGGCCCGTGCCAGCTCACCCGCAACACCAGAAGCTGCTCCTTTGACACCTTCAATTCCACCAGTCCCTGGGATATGCTGAGCCAGGCTCCTTGAAGGTTTCCCTGCTGCAGATTCACCAACTAGTATAAGAAGAAAAATAAATATTTAGCAGCTAAGTGAAATATGACAAAGATAAAATGCAGAATAGTGGCTTGAAAAATAGAAAGGCTAGGGACTTTGATTAAATTGCCATTTCATGTGAAACATCTGACTTGTTTTAAATTTAAATACCAGAAATAATCTCTATAACTACAAAGTCATTGACGTTAGTCAGTCTATTTCAAATTTCCACTACCAAAAAAAAAATCCAAAACAGTCAGAAGATGAGGGGTGGATGCTTTCTACCCTGTTTCAGCAAAGTTCCTTAAACCTGACTTTAAAAATACTAATGGATCACTACACTAGCCCAACGTTATCAGTTTGTATTCCAGCCTATCAAATCAAAGGCAGTTTTGTACTTTCAAAACCCACATCACGGATATTGGGTTGATCCTGCTAAAAGTACTAATTTTATACCCTTACAACAGAGAAATCAGAGGAAAAATACTACAGCTCCTAGTAGTCTCAATCACAGTGGAGTAAATCACAGTAGCCCAAATGTGAAATGGCAATATTCCAGCATAAATACAATGTCATCTGCATGGGCCATCAATAGCAACAGAATTGTACTCCAGCACAATCTGCAACCTCATGGTCTGGCATATCCCACACTCAATCATTACCATCAAGACAGGGGATCAACCCTGGTTCAATGGACAGTGCAGGGTGGTGGGGGTGGTGGCGGTGGCATACCAGCAGCAGGACTAGGCACACCTAAAAATTGTCACTCTAGTGACGCTACCAAACAGGGCTACTTGCATGCCAAACAGCATAAGTGGCAAGTGATAAACAGAGCTAGGCAATCTGTCACACACAGTTGTGAATGATGGTGGACAGTTAGGCAATTCACTGGAAGTTAAACTCCACCACAAATATTCTCAATGATGGAAGTGCCCAAAACATCAGTGCAAAAGATAAGGCTGAAGCATTCACAGCAATCTTCAGCCAGAAGTGCAAGCGGATGATCCATTGCAGCCTCTTCCAACAGTCCCCAGCATCAGAGATACCAGTCTTCAGTCAAGTCAATTCACTCCACATGATGTCAAGAAACTATTGGAGGTACTGGATACTGGAAAGATTATGGACCTTGACAACATTCCAGCAATATTACTGAAAACGTGTGCTCCAGAACTTGCCGCTCCCTTAGCCAAGCTGTTTCAGTACAGTTACAACACTGGTGTCTGCCCAACAATGTGAAAAATCACCCAGGTAAGTCCTGTACACACACACACACAAAAAAAAAGACAAATCTATTCTGGCCAATTACTACCCCATCAGCCCACTCTTGATCATCTGTAAAGTGATGGAAGGTGTCATTAACAGTGCTATCAAACAGCACCTGCACAGCTATAACCTGCTCAGTGACATGCAGTTTGGGTTCCACCAGGGCCACTCAGCTCCTAACCTTGTTCCAAACATAGACAAAAGAGCTGAATTCCAGAGGTGAAGCAAGAGTGACAGCCCTTGACATCAAGGCTGCATTCAACCGACGTGGAATAAGGATCTCTAACAAAACTGGAATCAAAAGGTATCGGGGAAAACTTTCCACTGGTTGAAGTCTTAGCTGGCCCATAGGAAAATGGTTGTGCTTGTTCGATGTCAGTCATTTCAGCTCCAAGATGTCTTTGCAGGAGTTCCTCAGGGTAGTTTCCTAGGCCCAACCACCTTCAGCTGCTTCATCAACGGCCTTCCCTCCAACGTAAGGTCAAAAGTGGGGGTGTTTGCCAATGATTCAGCATGCTTCCTCCCTGATGTTGCAGCTTCAGGAACAGCTTTGGTGGCTGCGGAGTGTGGAGGAGTCCCGTAGCCACTTAGGAAATCAAGAAGTTGTGTATGGAATTAAAAAAAAAAAAATGAAATTTGTCCCAACTTTGTATGATTTATTTCTTTTTGTAATTTACATAATTAAAATGATACCAGCTTATGGTGACTTATACACATTTTACTGTATTTCCATAAACTCACAACAATAAATTATTATTATTGTTACGATTGCACAATGTTCAGCACCATTTGCACCACCTCAGGTACCAAAGCAGTCTATATTCAAATGCAACCAAGATCTGAGCAATATCCAGGCTTGGGCTGACAAGTGGCTAGTAACATTCACTCCACACAAATGCCAGGCTACGACCATCTCCAATAAAAGAAAATCTAACCACTGCCCCATGACATTCAATGGTGTTACCATCATTGATTACCACAAGATCAGCATCCTTGGGACTTCCATTGACCAGAAACAACTGGGGTCACCACATAAACGCAAATGGCTAAAAAGGCAGTTCAGAGTCTAGGAATACTGCAGCGAGTAACTTACTCCTGACTCCCCAAAGCCCGTCTATCATCTACAAGCACAAGTCAGGAGCCTGGTGGAATATTCTCCCCTTACCTGGGGAAGTGCAGCTCTAACAACACACAAAAAGCTTGATACCATCCAGGTCAAAGCAGCTCACTTGATTGGCACCACACCCATAAGCAACCACTTCCTCCACCACTGACGCCCACTAGCAGCAGTGTGTACCATCACCAAGAGGCACTGCAGCAATTCGCCAAAGATCCTTTGACAGCATCTTCCAAATTCATGACCACTGGAAGGAAAAAGACAGCGGACGCATGGGTATACCACTACTTGCAAGTTCCTCTCCAAGCCATTCACCATTGTGACTTGGAAATATATTATTGTTCCTTCACTGTCACTGGGTCAAAATCCTGGAATTACCGCCCTAAGGGCACTGTGGGTCAACCTACACCATGTGGACTATAGTGGTTCAAGGTAGCAGCTCACCACCACCTTCTCAACAGCAACTATGGAAGGGAAATAATTGCTGCCCACTGTGTAAGTTTAAAGCAAACAATGGGAATAATTAACATTTCGATCCGGGTGTAATCAAATATCAAACAATCAAAAGGTTATTTAAATAGAAAGTAAGCGTCAGTGGTAAAAGACAATGATTGGTTGAACAGCTACAAGGAATGGTAGAACTCCATGAAAGTCTGCGCTGGGTCTCTTATAGCCCAAACTGTTCATGGACAGGTAAAGTCCAGGGATTCCCAGTGTCCCAGACTTCAGTCATTTATTGTTTGGTTTTGCAACTTGTGCTCCTTACAGCCAGCACAGCCAAAAATACCATTTTTAATAAAAACTGAAAGAACGGCAGATGCTGTAAATCAGGAACAAAAACAAAGTTGCTGGAAAAGCTCAGCAGGTCTGGCAGCATCTGTGGAGGAGAAAACAAAATTAACATTTCAGGTCCGGTGACCCTTCCTCAGAACTCCAGCTTTTCCAGCAACTTCTGTTTTTATACCATTTTTAATGCTATTACACTCTTCAACTTCCATTATGTTTCTATCTCATTGAAATCCTTGCTCTTCCATGACTTTAACCTCACCATCTCCATCATTTCTGCGTTCCTTTCTGCGAACTCCACTCATCTAAAACAAGTATCCTTTTAAAAGGCATTTATTGACTTTGAAATGCTTGAGACGGTCACAAACTATGAAAGCTTCCACATAAATGCAACCAGTTACTCTACTTCTGACTATGCTCAAGTTTCCCTTAGTTTTGCTTCATCCTCAGTCATAGAGCTTTAGCTGTCTATCTCCAATCTCATGGGAAAACCCTACCTACAATATGCTACTTTTCTTCTTTGAAAGCCTGCCCAAAGCCTATCACTTCAGTTGCTCTTTCCAGCAGTATCCTAACCCATTCATCCACTGCTCAATGCTCAGCTGTATCTTGGAAGTATTTCATTTGCAACCTTAGTGTCACATTTGACTTCAAGGTGAGCTTGAGAGCAAATATCCATGCCATTTCCAATTTCACCTACTTGCACTTCCATAGCACCACCTAACTTGACCTCACACTTAGCTCACTTGCTGCTGAAACCATCATCCATGGCTATGTTACTTCTAGGATTTACTAATAACTGCACTCCTGGCCAGCATCGCATCTTCCAGCCTCCATAAATTTAAGATTATTCAAAATTCTCCTAAACTGCATCAAGTCCTATTCATGGATCACTTGAGCTCAAAATCCTCCATGACATTGATCCATCCCACTTTTGTAACTTTTTATCTCCCCAAGCTCAGACATTTGCATTTAGCTTCATGCATGTCCTCGTGCATGACCAAGTCTTTAATTATTCCACTTTTGGTAGTGCGTCTTCAGTTGCTGTGGCCTAAGCACTGGAATTCCTTTTCTGTCTCAATTGCTCTTTCCTCCTTTAAGACCATCTTTGAAACATGCCTCTTTACCCAAGCTTGTGGTCATCCGTCCTAATATTGGGTTATGTGGTTCAGTACCTAGTTTTGTTTGACAAACAAAAACTGCCAAATGTTTTGAGATGCCTAAAAGATTTACGTTGCTGTGTGACAATATATTCCATCAAGTGTGTCGAAGAGAAAATCTTGTCCCCAAATCAAAAGTAGCCACCCATGTTGTAAGCCACACTAATTGCTTTATTATCGTTGACTTTGATAACATTGCAAACAATGATTCTTTTAAGAATAAATCAGGTTTGTCTTGTATCCACGTATGCTTTTTTGCACCTTAAATGTTTTTTTTAAAACCAACAGCAGATCACCCATGTTAATCATGAACCAGGTTAGATATTTTCACCACTAGAGCCCAAGGGTGAATGAACCAGTTTTTCATATTTCTAGGTAGTTCTAATCAACTTGTTCAGAGATGTTATGATACACCTCTGGTGCAGGTGACACTCGAATGCAGGCCTCTTGGTCTAGAGATAAGAACACCGCTACTATAGCCCAAGAGTGAATGAACCAGTTATGCTCCAAACACAAGTGGATGCTCGCTAGAGTACATATCGAAGGGCTTTTGTTTTGAGGGTGGGGTTGGCTCTTGGAGGTTCAGTGGTAGCGTCCCTACCTGAGTCAGAAGACCCAGGGTCCAAGGCCCACCTGATCCAGAAGCGTGCAATAACATCTAAATGGGTTGATTAGAAAATATCCAGAAATATATTAGGGGTAAGAGAATAACTGGGAAAAGGTTAGGTTCTATTAGGGACAATCTGCACGTGGAAGACATAGCAAAGGTTTTAAAAAAGGCCTTTTTTCTAACATAGGATGTCAGGGGGACTCCTGTTGTGCAGCAGGAGCACCCCTACCTCTGAGCCAGAAGGCTAGCGTTCAAGTCCCATCTGTTCCAGAGGTGTATGATAACACGTTCAAACAGGTTAGTTAAAAATAAAATGGCTGGAAGGGAGGTTGGTTATGAAGACAGCAGACTTGGAGTTTGTGTTGAACTATGAAATACATAAAAACAGTTGAAGCATGGACTGACTTCTGCTTCAGTAATATCTGCAATTTTCACTATTTCTCCATCATTGCACTTAGTCTCCTCTCTCTTTTCAATGTGCAATCACCCCATGCCCTGCAGTCTGGCACACACCTTGCACTCTCGTAGTCTGGTCATTGGCACATAACCCTTGTCCACTCCATCTTCAATCACAGCCAAAAACCTAGCCCAGTGTTCCATTCAGTTTGATGTCATGAATAATGGGGAAGACGGATTTTCCACAGGGATGCTGTTTTGTCCATTTGCCATTTCCTTTCTCTTTTGCTCAGTTTTATGCTATAAAAACACTGTACTGAAGCAGCTTAGGAACAGGCATTTTGCTCAATAGATTCTTGCTTGCAAGGATGACACAGAAGCCTTAAGTTTCTGAAGGATCTAGGCCTGAAATGTCAGCTTTCCTGCTCGGCCTGCTGTGTTCATCCAGCTCTACACCTTGTTATCTCAGCCTCAAACATTACAGCTTCAAGAAGTGAAGTCAACTTGTCATGACACTGTTGTCTAGTCTCAGAGCAAGGGGTCACACATTTAAGACAGACGAGGAGGAATTTCTTCTCAGTGGACAGTGAATCTGTGGAAATTTTTTTTTTATTGCAGAGGCCTATCAAGGCTATGTTGTTAAGTATACTCAAGGCTGAGACAGGTAGATTTTTAATCAGCAAGGGCATCAAGGGTTGTGGAGATAAGGTAGGAACCTCAATGGGCCAAATAGCCTACTTTTGCTATGTCTTACAATACTTACAAAGTTCTTCTCTGTCCAGTGACTGTGCACCACCACCAAACAAGCCTTTAAAGAATCCTCTATTTGGAGCTTCTGGTGTTTCTACAGGAGTGAATAGTTCTCCAAGCATTTCCTGGAAGAAAATAAACTGTTATTCATTTATACAAATCTACTGGAATGTTTTTGAGAATGTAATTAGTGAAGTTGATAAAGGGAAACCAGTGAATGTAATTTACTTGGACTTGCAGAAGGCTTTCAAAAAACTCCCACATAAAAGATTAACATGCAAAATTAAATGGGACTGGTGGGTAATGCACTGGCATGAATAGAAAACTACTTGACATACAAGCAGCAAAAAGAGTAGCAAGGAACGGTCAATGATGCATGGGATACCGTAGGGTTCAGTATTTAGATCCCAGCTATTCACAATAAATACGTACAATTTAAGAAGGGGGAACTAATTATACTATTTTCAGGATTGCAGATGATACAAAACTGGGTGGGAGGGTGAGCTGTGAGGAGGATGCAGAAATGCTTCATTGTGATTTGGAAAAATTTAGTGCGTAGGCAAATGTGTGGCAGATGTAGCATAATGTAGACAAATATTAGGTTATCCACTTTGGTAGCAAGCACAGGAAGGCTGATAATTATCTAAATGGCAATGGATTGGGAAAGGAGGAAATGCAAGGAGACCTGGGTGTCGTTGTACACCGGTCACTCGGTTCCAATGCTGCCAAGCACCTTGTCTAGGTTTTCCATCGAAGATAAAGCAGATGGATTAAAGATTGCCTATGGAAAGTCACTAAAGTGCCATCAACTCTTTCCACCTGTCTTGAGCTGATCCTGCCAAGAGCCATACAGATAAATCTGATGGCAGGAGGCATGAATAATGCGTTGTAGCTGATAGTTAAGACATGTTTAACACAGAAGGATTTATGAAATTCAACAGAAGCTTGCACTAAATACTAAAGCTCAGGTTGATCTAATTCAAAGGAACCTTGAATAAACCATAATCCCGCATACATGTTCATGAAACTGTTCAAACATAAGACAGTTTGAGCATTAGGAAGACTTAAAAGCATGAATCAGTAAAACACTTCCCTAGAATGTAGAGACAACTGTATGCAATTGCAAAAGAAAACATTACAATATCTGCCAAAATGTAAAGCTCATAAATGAGTGTGACAGCAAACAATTTGAATTGTCACAGCTTAAACTGGAGCATGGAGTTGGTGTACATCTTTACAGGGCCTGAGCCCAGGTCCACCTCTCCTTCTATATGCCGGCATCAGTGGAAAACCTGAGCCTGCCTATGTAATGACAACAACTTGCAATTATATAGCATCCTTAATATAGTAAGCATCTCAATGTATGCTGGAGCATTATCAGTCAAGAAATTAACACTAGGATACTCAAGGTGATCTTATGAGATAAATAAAAAAGTTACCTCACCTTATCAGACTACATGAAGCATTGACACTAAGTGAGATGAACCAGTGGCCCAAACAGATATAAATATAATGGTGATAAGATAACCAAAGTTGGGAGATAAATGTTCCAGGATGTACAAATTTCAAAAGGGCAGGCAAAATAGGAAAGGAGGAGGATATCCCTGATAATAAAGGAAGACATTTGAGAAAGGATCTTGGTTCAGACAGATAATCACCAATGAGTATGAGTAGAGGTTTGGAATAGCAAAAGGCAAGAGAATGCTTGTAGGAGTATTTTTTAGGCCTAACAGTTGTTATACCTTTGGATGGACAATTAAACCAGAAGTTATTGGAGCCTGTAACAAAGATAATGTAACAGTTGTTGAGAACTACAGTCTTCAAATTGGATGTAGGTCAAAGGACAACTACAGACATGGTGGATGAATTGACTTTGATTTTCCAAAAATTCCTAGATTCCAAAATGATCCCAGTGAATAAGATGATATCAAAAGTAACACTACTGTTCAAGAAATGAGGGAACAGGGAATAGACTAGTCAGCCTGACCACCATTGGTAAAGCACTGGAGTCTATTTAGGAAATCTCAGCAATATACTTGGAAAAGCCTATCATGATTAGAAAAGCCAATGTGGTTCTACAAAAAGGAAATTGTCTTTGACAAAATATTTCAGATTTTGGAGGATTTAAGTAGTAAGGTAGGCAAGAGGAGAACTAATAGATGCAATATACTTCGATTTCCAAAAGGCATTCAAAAAGGTGACACACATACATTCAATACACAAGATAAGGGTTCATGGCTTTGGAAATGTATTAGCGTGGACAGAGGATTGGCACATGGAAAGGAAATAGAGGAGGTCTTGGGGTATTTTTGAGTTAGTAGACTGTGACTAATGGAGTGTTGCAAGAATAAATGCTGGGCCTCAGTTATTTACAATTTTTATTAAAAACTTAGAAGAGACAATGTATATCTATGTTTGGTGGTAAAGTTAGGTAAAAATGCAAGTTAGATGTGTATCTGTATCATGTGAAGTAGTATCAGGACTTCCCTGTCACATGAATAGAAAAGTAACATATTTTAAATGACGTGGAACCAGCAAATGTTCACATTCAGAGAAATGTTGGTGTACTCAAACAAGGAACATAAAATCAGCATGCAGGAACAGTAACTAACTAGGAAGGAAAATAGCATGTGTTTTATTGCAAGGGAATTGGAGTATAATAAAGAAATCTTGCTACAATTGAACGAAGCTTAGGCAAGACTACACCAAGAATGTGTTGTTCAATCTTGGTCTCCATGTTTAAGGATACACGTGCATTGAAGGCTTTATAACAACAGTTTACTAAATTGGTCCCTGGGATGAGGGAGTTGGCCAATAGTGAGAAACAGAATAAATTGGGCTTACATTCTCTGAAGTTTAGAAGAATGACAGATGGGCTTATTGAAACATTCAAGACTTTGAAGGGGGCTTGAAAGGACAGGTATTGACACATTCCCCTCAGCTGGGGAATCTAGAACAAGGATATAGTTTCAGCATAAGAAGCTAATCATTTAGGGCTGGGAGGAAGATTTTTTTTTTTAAAAACTCAGTGGTGCAAGTCTTGGAAGTCTATATCCTTGAGATTTACAGATGTACCATCTTCGAATATGTTTAAGGTTTTGCTCGTCAAGAGTTTCGGTCCCTTAGGGGAATCAAGGGATACAGAGAATAGGTAGGAAAGTAGAGCTGAAGCCCAAGGTCAGCCACAATCAAGTTAAATGCTGAAGTGTTCTCAGTGGACTATGTGGTCTTCTCCTGCTCCTATTTCTTACATTCTTATTTTCAGTGGCAAAAAGTCAGATTTTAAGGAGTACTTTACAGGAAGCGTTCAAGTTGAGGGAACAAATCCCAAATCTTAGGGCCCTGACATTTGAAGTTAAGGCCACCAACAGTGAGGCAAAGTAAATCAGAGATTCACAAGGGGTCGAGGTTGGAGATTTGTAGGGCAAAAGGTCAAGTACAAAGTTAAGTACTGCTTGCAGAGAGGGCAATTTGCCATGAAAGATTTACAAGTTGACCATTGGCACCAGAAGCAGTCTCTGTTTGATGAAATGTCTCTGCTCACATTAGTGCCTAATCACATCCTGTTGTTAAGCTGCCAAAATACAAGAGGAAAGTGTTGCTGCTGCATAGTTAAGTTGTACAAATACAAAAACTAACTTATTTATGAATCTGGAATGAGGCAATAGGTTGATCAGTTATTCCACTGCAATACAAATATCAGAATAATGCCTCAAAAGGTACAGTGTCCAGCATTTCTTGAATCCACTTCTGCACAAACGACATGCAAGTGAGGAAATAAATTGAGAACAAGTACTAATTTAAAAACTAGCTTGTGGAGCACAATTTTCACTAGCTAAAAATACAACAATCTCAATGAGCCTTACCTGTAAATTCTCACATGTGCTTTGACTGTAAGTGATGCGCTGGATCTCAGTAGGGGAAACCAGATATAGAGCCTGTCCATTGTTGGTGAAACAGAAAGTACGAGCTATTCGCATGTCTGTTAGTGGCAAATAATTGACATCTAGCAGTGGCCTAAGGCTTGGCAAGCTTCAAAACAAAATCAATATAGGAAGGTTAAAAAATATAAAGGATAGAAGTAAAGTTTTGTGGATGGTTAAAATAAGGAAAAATGATGCAAGAATAAAAAAATCAGGTCAGGCAGTATTTATGGACAGAAACAGTTAATGTTTCAGGTCAATGACCTTTCAGACTTCTTGTTTCACCTACCACAGATTCACTGTACTATAAACATGCTCCCTGTATCTGTTTGCCAACACACATTGTTCTATTGAACATTTTACTACTTGTACTAAATTCACAATTCAATAATATCTGTACCTGGTGGCATGTTCCTGACTTCGATACCCAGGATACACCAATGATAAAATGAATAACAGCTACATACAATTAACCATTCTTAAAATAAAGGACTTTGTCACTCATCAGGCTTCAATTGATGTTACAGTGACAATCATTTAAATTGCACAATTTCAAGCATGATGCTCAAGGCATTGAATAAAAATAGCAGTAATGGAGTATTTGTCATTAAAGAACACTGAGCTCAGTGTAACACCCCTCATTACAACAGAGCTGTTATTCAAATCACCACATTATTTCAATGGTCTATAGAAAGACTTACATTTTTAAATTGCAATGAAGATCATAATCATTTTGCAAATTTAATCAGTACAAATCCTAGAATCATTTGTGCATAAAACACCTTTCACGCTTTTGCTAGCTATTTGAAAGAGCTATCCAATTTAACCCTGAACTGGTAGAAAGTCATCAACATGAAATATTAATTATGCCCTCCGTCCACAGGCACAGCCTGGCCTCTGAATATATCCAGCATTTTTGTTTTTTTTTATATAAAATGCATTTCATGGAAAAAACAACTTTCCAGCAATACTATCAGAACCATAATGTTGTTCTAACGAACAGCAAAACACGAACCCAAATTTACATTATACCTTTTGTACCCTCAGGATATCCCAAAGCTCACCAGTTCTGCCACATGACAGGACTCCCTTAGTCCTCCAGACTTTTAAGTCATCCAGATAAAAGCAAAATACTGCAGATGCTGAAAGTCTGAAAGAAAGACTGAGTGCTGGAGAAACTTGGAAGTCTGGAAACATCTGTGAAGAGAAGCAGAATTAATGTTTCTATTTCAGTATGACTTCTTCAGAACAGAAAGGTGCTGGAAAATAGTTTTTTTTAAAAAAAATATTCTTTTGACAGAGGCAGAAGAGTAGCAAGACTGTTCACTGCAGTTAGTAGAGGGGACAAATTATTTCCCTTTCACATCTTAATTTACACCCATTTTACATCTTATTTTTTCTTTCTCCACTATTAACAACCCCTTTGTCTTTCACACATGGTATTGACACCCATCTGCCCTCTTGCTTCTCCTCTGCCTCAGTCAAAAGTATTAAATAAAAACCTATTTTCTAATACCTTTAAGTTCTGAAGAAGTCATATCGGTCTCAAAATATAAACGGTTTCTCTCTCCACAGATGCTGCTAGACCTGCTGAGCTTCTCCAGCAGTCTCTCATTTTGTCTAAAGTCATCCCATTGTGGACAACCAGGCTGAGTACAGACAAATTCCAGACTCTACCCAATCCTCCTAGACAATCCCAACACAACCAAACTACATTCAGAGATACCAAGAACTGCAGATGCTGGAATCAGAGTCAGTACAGTATGGAGCTGGAAGAACACAGCAGGCCAGGCAGCACCAGAGTAGGATGAAAGTCGATGAAGGGTGTAAACCCGAAGCGTCGACTTTCCTGCTCCTCTGAAGCTGCTTGGCCTGCTGTGTTCCTCCACTTCCACACTATTGACAACCAAACTACACAACAAACCAAGTTATATATACCATTTATATTTTCTAATCCCAGATTTACTTTCTGCAGCTGTATCTCAAATGTCTCCCTTGTAACGAATCTAACACCCCATCGTTGGCCACCTTTAATCTGATATATCCTAACCATAGCGGTGTTTCTGAAGGAGAGAGATACAAATTAAATTCACATGTAAAGGAACTTCCTTGAGGAATTTTACCATAAAACAACTTTAGATGATCATACTTCATAGAATATCAATAGATTTCTGGTGGTGTTGCTAAGTAAATTGAACAGAATGCACCAGGGTGTTATGGCATATAACCGACAATGTACAATTAACCTATATTAACTGGTTTTTCAGTAGTTTATGGAATTAGAATAGATCTGCAGCTAAGATGTTAGCGCCAACACAGGCTTCATGGACCAACAGTGCTTATTCCATGCTATAATCTCTATAAATGCTCTCTTCTGTAAATATTAAGAGGGAAACGGAAACATAGTTCTGATTAAAACTGTGACACTGGACCTGACTGCATGTGCATTGAGGGAAAAGAGCTCCGTATTTTTAACGCACTGATTAGTCCTTGGGATGCCTTAAAGTGCTTTATGAATACAGCACTTTTGGAATGCATTTGCTTTGTAGGAAACTGGACTACCAATTTGTGTGAAGTGCTACAAACAGCAATTAAAAAAATTGTGCAACCCAAGTGTCGCTGACAAGGCCAGTATTTGATGCCCATTTCCAATTGCCATTGAGGCGGTGGTGGTTAGCTGCATTTTTGAACTTCTGAGTCCATCTGTTGTAGGTACAACCACACAGTGCTGTTAAGTAGAAAGTCTCAGCAACAGTGAACGAACATAGGTATAGTTCCAAGTCAGGATGGTCTTGGACTTGGAGGGAAATTCAAAAGGTAGTTGTGTTCCCGTACCCTTGTCCTTTTAGGCAGAAGAGATTGCAGGTTTGGAGGGCTACAGTGCATCTTGTGTGAGATACACACTCTAGCCACTGTGCACCAGTGGTGGAGGAAATAACAAATGGAGCACTGATCAAACGGGCTGCTTAGTTCTGTCTGGTGTTTAACTACTTTTATGTTCTTGGAATCGCACTCATCTAATCAAGAGGCAAGCAATCTACCAATGATATGAACAAACAAATCTGTGTTGGCAGCATTTGTTGGTCAACAAGCACACAAGACCACAGTTCAACTCATCATCCAAAAAATCACATCTCCAGCAGCAAATCACTGATTACGTGCTTCAAGCCACAATCTGCTGACTGGGAAGCATGTGCACTACAACTTGGCTAAGGTGGAAGATGCTCAAAATTTATACTATTCCCAAACCAGAAACAGCAGCCAATTATTTCCAACAAAATCTTGTTTAAATACAAATTTCCGATATCCTTTTAATTGATGGAAAAGTCCTTAACAAATTTTAGTTTGTGCATTGTAGACTCTACATACCCTGATACAACCAGTTCATTCATGATCAAGCACAATGTGATTTACCTGAATGTCATGATATGTCCATTGGCACAGAAGCATGCAAGGCAGATGCTCCCATTCAGTCCCACAATATCAGCACGAAGAACAAATGATGTTTCAGTTATATTGTGTTTATAAATACAGTTTTGGGAAGGTAATGAGATAACTTTTGCCTGTTTTTCTGAACATATCACTGCATATTGGGTTTCATTTATCTCCTGAGAGGATGAGGGAGAGACAGATACTGGCCTCAGTTTTCTACATTTATCCTTGTCATCCTTCTCTTCTTGCACATTTGGTTCTCTCCAGGGTTCATGTGCTGGATTGATGAGGCTTCCGGTGGTGTCCAGAAACGCTATTCTCAAAATTGCACCTTTCAGTCTCAATATAGTTCCTGTAGAATTGTATAACAATAAAGGACAATTAAGTGGGAGGAGATCAAACAAGTAATCAATTGGCAGCATATATGTTGGGGCTGAAACAATTCATTGTATTCATTAGTGACTTGGGTGATGGAATAGAAAGCCACATACTCAAATTTGCTGATGGCAGAAAGATAGTTGGCATCTTAAGCAGTGTAGATGGCACCTGCATTGATACACTGGGTTGATGGGGTAAAATTTTCACAACTGGATGTCAATGGAGGTTATACACTTTGAACCTACAAAGTTTAGAAACTGGGAACTCATTAAATGAAGAAACGCTAGAAACAGTGAAGGTCCATACAGTCTTGTGGACTCAAAGATTGTGAACCAGTACGGAAAATAAAAAAAAAAAAATAATGCATTGCTGGCCTTTACACCTAGAGGACTGAAATACAGAGGCATGCTACAGCTATACAAAACATCAAATAGACCATGCTGACATACCATGAGCAGTTTTGGATATCAATTTTCCTTTTAAAATCTAAGTGTTGTGCATGGCCATTGTTTTTTTTAAAAATTTTTCTTTAAATAGGTCATTCAATTTCATAGCTATATGCCAGTTTTTATGCACCACACAAGCTGCCACCCCATTCCCCTCCCATTTTACTTTACCTAATTTTCATAACTTGTATTTACAAAAAGGGCAGAATCTTAGAGGGGCCTGAGCTAGATTCTAGTGATACTCGTGGCAGAATCAAATGAGAAGTTCAGATCTTGACATCAGGAGCACCTCAACATCTGTTACGCACTTGCTGAATGGCGAGGCAAGTTTCTCACTGGGCAGTTACCAATTAAAAGGGATTTTATCTTGAGTGCCTTTTCAACAGCATAGCTTGTCTTATTAATATTCAGCCTCTTACTTTACCAAATGCATGAATAAACCAAATGTTGAGAATTCCTGACATGCAAGTCAGAGCAGGTACCTGGATGACTTCAGCTCACTGTTGGCACCAAAGGACTTCATGTTGGACACCAACATCTCAGGGGAAACTCCACAGACACTGGCCACACACCTCATTCAAAGATATTGGCATCCAATATGAGCCAGCTTCCAAGAACCCTCATAGCACATATCTACACCCTTCTGCACTTCATTCCTGCACCTCAGGCTGCAATGGCAATTATCATTATAACGTTGCAGTAAGGACAATCTTTGCTCAGGATATGCACTCAGCTCATGGAGTGTTCTAGGCTCTGCATTTGCTGTTCGAGCACTCAGTTACTTTGATCTTACTTGGATACTTATAGCATCCCTGCCGTGCATTACTTTAGCCTTTTCGCGCTATGCCCCTCAGCCAAAATTACTTTTAAAAATCACCAAAATTAAAATATTACTTTGGTCTTGCTTTGCTGGTTAGCACAAACACAAAGCTTGTCAGCAGTGCTCAGTTGAAGGAGATAGACTTTGTTCAGGCTTTCCAGGATGAGTAAATCAAGGCTAGCCTCTGAAAGAAGCCTATGGCCTTGGATAAAGTTAGTCATTCACTTGGGCGGTCAGAGTCAGGATGCTGTCCACTTAAGGTATAAGGAGTGGAATAACAGGTAACCCACCATTTGTTTGACTCCTTCTGTCTTATTGGAGGATGTTATCCACTGGGAATGAGAGACAGAGGCAGGTACTCTGGTGATGAAAGTGGGTAGTACAGCTGTTAGTTTTATTACAAGTGGGGAGATGTCCTGAATGAGCGAGTGAATGAGTGAGCAGGCAGAATGGAGAACAAACAGGGCTCATGGCGTTAGGGTTGAGTTGGGTCGAGTTGGGTCAGAGCAGGTGAGGAAAATGTTACAGGCAACGACGAGCACGAATCTTGGTGGATAACAGAGCGCTACCGGAGAAAATATGCTGGCATTTATACTGGAGACTGGTTCTTCCTACACTGTTGGGTATTCCTCCAAATGACTAAGCCACTCTCATTTGGGTTGGTAACTCTGTATCAGGCTGGCATGGTCTTGGGACATGTCTCCCACTGCTAATCCTGGAGGAAAGAGGGTCTGTCTGCAGCACAATTAGCAGGACCTTCAGGACCCTGAATGTGAAGCCATGTCCAGGGCAAAAGTCAGGAACCATGCACAGGAGCTCCAGCCTGGCAGTGCTTCTCTGGCTGCACAAACGGCTTTCAAAGATGATGTGGGCCAAGGACACGGGTCTGTTGGCATCTATCTGTTCAACGGCAAGTTGTTCTGGGAATGGCACAGGGTAAGATGGGAACCAAATTGGACCTGAGACACTTTATGGAGTGCTGTTGGTAAATTAATGAGACAAGTTTGGTAAGGTATGGCAAGAAATCCTGTTGGGCCTCAGCGAAAATCCCTTCAAAAAAAATACCAGTGCAATTCACGCTTAGCCAAGAAAACATAACACTCAACCCAAAGTCTTTAACACATCAAAATGTCCCAAGGTACTACATCAGAGCATTATGCTCTTCAATTCTTTTCTGTGATGTGTCCTAATACATGAAGGAAGACGACGACTGCACAAATGCTCTTACCACTGGGAGACACTATGACTGGTTGAGTAAGTCTCTGCTCTCCTCCAGGTGGCAGATTCAGTACTATGACCAGTACAGTGCCAAGTGTAGTCCCAACCCACAAACATGGTGATGTACATGTGTCTGCCTTTCGGGTATAAGTCTCACAGAAGTGAAGAGCTGTGATTGCCTCTCGGGACTCCTTGTCAATGCTGGTAACACTGGAACTCCGGGAACGGCTGAAAGAGTTGTCTTTCACATCTGTTGTTGAAACATGAGAAGTAAAATTTTTCATTAAAAACAGACCAAAGCACAAATCAGATAATCTGAAGCTTAAATTATTTGGACATTATTAATGATTTAGAATTGGACATTTTATATTTCAAATAAATTTGTTCCCATTTACTTGATTTGTTGACATAGAAAGTTAGGAGTCAGATCAGCTAATCCACATATACTAGGAAAACCTGATGGCACCAAGCAAGGACCATTTAGTCATGAAGGGCTGAAGTTGTACGAATAGAAATTTTGTTTCTCACCCTCATTTCTCCTGACTTTCTTCACTCTATTTCACTTAAATTTGAAGACATTATATAGATTTTCACAACTTTTGTAGCTTGTACAATTTGTTGACTTTGTCCAAGTCAAGCAAAAAGACTATGCAATGCATTAAACTCTTCGTTCCAATGAAAGTAAGAGTTGTATCGATTCCTTTGGTGTGTGGAGTTGGATCATTAAGATGTTAACTATTAGCTATTTCTACTCCTGAGAGATGACCTAGGGTAAGAGACTGTAGGAACTGTGCCCAAAGTAGACCTAAGAAAGGCCTCAAATGGTGCCGTATTTTTCCAATTGCAAGCAGATGCCCAACATCACTTGCTCTAAGTGGTATATGCCCACAGTTGCTTCATCCATATATGTTGGGACTGTTCATTATCATAGTCAATGGCAATAGTAGCTTTCATACTGGTAGCAAATAATACAAAGCTTTTCTCAAATAGAGACACAGTATTTAGAATTAACTATGTGCGTGCATGACCCTGTCAAAGGCACTGTTGTTTGCTCTTGCCCAACCATCTGAAATTTTGGTGGTTCTGCTATATCACATCGCCACCACTTCTCGTCTCATACTGACCTATCATCATCCCTTTCCTAGCTGGATGATTCCCAGCACCCTGAGGTTTATGGCTACTGATCTCCTTCAATTCAGATTGAAAAGCATAATTGTGCAAGTTAACCATAGAAGAAATAACGATGCAAACTGGTATTGTTAAATTGTTTGTGTTCTCCTTAGTTAAATATGGATTACGGAGATCTGACTGTTTATTTAAAAAGATGCAAATATGTGGTATGTATATTTCGAGTTACACACTGTAGAAGGGAAATCAACATACTTCATTTCCTAGGTGTTTGAGTATGTGATGCTACAATACACCCAAGCAACAAGAATTTACTGAGACAACTTGATAATAAAATTGGAAAATTACTGGAGATTTTGCAGAAAGAATCCATTGGTGATAGAAAATTAGAAGAAAGTGAACATGCATGTTGATCAAAGATAGATTTAAAACCTCAATCCCATTAAACAAGTTTTTCAGCAGAGCCTTACTAAAAAAATGTGCGCATAGAGAAGTCATACTCCAAATATTTTTTTTAAGCTGCTTTGTTCCTTCAAGCAGATGATTGAGGCGTTGGTCTCTGGTCTTTGACCTAAATGCAAGCTCTGTCATTGGCAGAGAGTGAAGAATGGAGGTCAGTGCTATAACTTTAAAATGTTGAGCCACTCCCTGAACATGTAAAATAAATTTATATTTGGGTTGTAAATATTGCAGATATTTCTTTCATGAAACCGTACGCAATGGTGAAAGAGGAATTACCAATACATCCACTGTTACATTGTATTACTACCTGAGACACTTTGCAAATATACTATCATTTTTTTTCTTCAGTAGATGATATTTTCAATATTAACCACAGCAAGTCTAGGGAGTTACGATGACAATCTAACTCTTGGAACAAAAAAAGTGACTTTGTTCTTTTGGTGATCTCACCTCAGATTGCAGACTGGTGCAAACCCAATTTAAGCTCCAAAAGACTATTTGCGAACTTTTAAGTTTGAACTTTAATGTCATCAATTTTCATTCCCTGAAGGTTGGCATTCTAATTTGCCTTTCTTTTTCTACTGGGGACAGTACAATCAAAAGACCTCTATTAGAAAAATACAATGTATTTGTCATTCAGTAGTACTTGAATATCATTTTCCACTTGACTTTCTTTACTTTCTTCTGCTAAACTCTTCAGCTCGAGATTCCTGCACATTACTGCTCAATTGTGTTGCCTGGGTCTTTTCATTAACTGAGGACCTGTACTCAAATTCTTCACATTGTGACTTAAAAATGATCAATTAACTGTCAATTAAAAAGTGATCAGTGTCAGGAACAACCCTTCCTTAAAGTTTCCTTGTATTTTCTTTGCTACCAGAGCATTAACAAAGCTTTGAAGTTACAAATTAACAAATAATTAATGTCAACCCATTAATCAGATATTGTTCCACAGTTGTTACATGACAATAGGTTTCATTAGGAAGCAGGAAGGCCAAATTGCAGTAGAGATATACATTTGGATACTGGAGTGTTGATATATTATGGCATGCTATGGCTGCACTGCTCAATATCTAGCAGCACAATAAACTAACTTGGTGGTAAACAAAAGACTTCCTTGTGATCTGAGCTGGATACTTGAGTGCCCAACATGTCTCAAGTGAGGTTCTCCAATCTTTTCGAAAATCATACCGACAATACTTCATTCAAATTGGAAAAACACATTTTTAATGAAATTATATTAAGTAACGGATTTGCTACATTTCCCCACGTATACTTTAAATCAAAACATTTTGTAATTCTTCTCTTTACACTACCCTTTTAATTCTGTTGAAAACTTGTCTAAAAATTTTACCACTCATGTCTCACTTAGTTTATGCAATCACTAGACCCTGGACATAACGTTTATCTAATTAGTATGTTGGACACATAGCCAATGTTCTGACTTTCCATTATACAAAGAATGGCCTCTCAACTTATAAAAACAAGAATCCTGCAGATTTAATAAGGCTTTTCTATGATATAAAAGTAGTAAATGCTGTAGTCTCCTCTGCTCATAATGCGCCACAGAGATATCATGGAGAGAATTGTTAGTGACTCAACAACCTTAAATTAGGCATGGAGTTTGATTGTCTCAGAATTATTGGTTCACCACTGTCACGCAACAGTCACTTTGCGGTTATACCAAAGTGTTATATCACAGTATGGAAACTTGTATATTATATTATATTTTTATACACATTTGATAGTACAGAACTTGAGTCATTCTGAAAAAAGATACATTAATCAAAACTTTTCATCTCACAAACAGCACATTTGCAGGATCACAAATTCAGGGGAAAACTGACATCTATACGTAGTATAAAATATTGGGTTTCCCATTGAATTTATATTTTTATCTCAAAGCTACTTTAAAATCCATAGCTTTTGTACTCCAGTAAATTAACACTGATTGGCTGACAATTCATAATCTAAAGTGATTCATTGAAATAAATGGAAACATAAGATGTAGAAACATTCGAAGGTGAGGCATCATCTGAATAGAAAGGAAGGATGGGGTTGTTTCCTCCCTATACAGATGTTGCTTCACCTAAGTATGATCAGCACTTTCTGTTCTCATATCTAGCATCTATAGCCATTTGTTGTTTGTCCTCTTGAAATAAATGCCTTGCTTCAAATAGAAAGATTGCCTTGTTTATAATAAGTCAAAAATATATAGTCATAGAGTTGTACAGCATGGAAGTAGACCTTTCAGTCCAACTCATCCATACCAACCTATTAATCTAGTTCTATTGGCCAGCATTTGGCCCATATCCCTCTTAAACCCTTCCTATTCATATACCCATTCAGATGCCTTTTAAATGTTGTTACTGTACCAAATCCACCACTTTCTCTGGCAGTTCATTCCAGGCATGCACCACCCTCTGCATGAAAATGTTACCCCGAGGTTCCTTTTAAATCTTTCTCCTCTCACTTTAAACCTATTCCCTCTAGTTTTGGACTCCCTCATTCCGGGGAAAAGACCTTCGCTATTCACCTTATCCATGCCCCTCATGATTTTATAAACCACTATATGGTCACCCCTTAGCCTCCAGTGCTCCAGGGAAACAGCCCCAGCCTATTCAGCTTCTCCCTATAAGCTCAAACCCTCTAACCTTGGCAACATCCTTGTAAATCTTTTCTGAACCCTCTTAAATTAACTATCTTGCCAGATAATGCGAATACATAATAGATTATGGTCATGTCCATAGCACAACCCCACCCATACCCTTCATCAACATGATAATGTGGGAAATGAACAAGTTTACAGTTGAAGTCAGGGTGCTTCTGAACATTATTCAGCATTTCATTTTCAATATTTTGCTCTGAAATGACTTACCTTTTCCCAACTCAATTTCCTACTTCCTTTGTTTCTACCTACTTGCAATGACCCCAAAATAATGCCTACAGATTCCTAATGCCCAACTGGTAAAGCTGTTCCAACACAGAGACCTCTAACCTGACAAAATAAAATAAAAATTGGATTCCTATAGAGGTGAAGATTACTACTTTTCTACAGAAGAACAAATTAAGCTGGACAATGACTAAATATGTCACAAAAGAGATAGCTAATCCTAGATGATACAAGCGATAACATTTAGCCATAGAGTATTTAGAATGCATTAGAAATGAAACAAAAAGGAAAACTGAATGTTTGTGCAAAAGGCACACCAGGAGGCTACTACAGTCAAGTAAACACAGCAGTAATATAAAATTAAACTCTCCTTGTTCATTATATGCATTGAGAAATAGGCTGGGCGAACCGGTGAGATTTGCTAAAGATTTATCAGGGAAATGACTAATCTCCTCAATATTATAAACAGACATAAAAAGATCATAAAAGGCAGCAGTGGAACGGAGAAGGAGACATGAACCAGAACCCCAGTTACCAGAGGGGTACAGGAGAATAAAAAGCAAGGAAGGATGAAGTCATGGATGGGTTTGAATACAAAGGATGCAAATTTTAAATTCAAGACTGCTTAACCAGATTCCAATGTACATTTGCAAAACCAGGGTGAAGTGTGTAAAAGGCTTAGGACAGGGACAGAGTTTTGGAGGAGTTCAAGATTACGGAAAGTAGAATATAGATGCTCAGCTAAAGGAATGTTGGGATAATTAAGT